ATTGAAAATAAATTAGAAGATGCATTAAAGAATCAAATGATTACAGATGATATGGTTAACAAATTGACATTAAAAATTGATAAATTTTCAGAATTGTTAAGCAACTCAAAATTACCACTTATTAAAAATAACAGTTACAGTAGTTCTTCAAACAGTTATAATTATTCGAATGGTTCGTCTTACGATAATTCTCGCAGAGGTCCTGGAAGACCAAGAAAAGATGGCTCACCTGCTTTATTCGATAAATTTAATAATGACTCTTCCTTAAAATCTTTATTACCAATAGGCTCCATGCAGATTTCAAAATCAAAGCGTTATTTCATTGATCCTAAGGAAAAAATGGATATTGCATTAAAACAAAAAAAATCAATGACCGCAAGTGAATATTCTGCAAGCTTGGAGAAAAGAAGAAGGGGTAGACCTCCAAAGAAGAGAACTGTGGATACTGTCATCATCAATTTCGATCATGAAGATGACACTGAAGACCTGCCAAGTGATTCTAATAACTCTGAAGGTATCGAAGAAGATTATTTGGATGCAAACAATGATATAATTGATTCTTCTAATGCTACACCAAATCCATCTGGCATTAAAAATATTTCAGTAAATGATAATATTTCTTCAAGTCCACCTTCTGATAATTCTTTAGTTAATGGTGACAAACTCAAACTTCATGATGAAGATGCGGGTTCTGATCTAAATTCTAGACAAGAAAGAGAATTAAATAAAAGACGCGATGATCGTGAAAAGATGTTGGTCAACTTGAAATATAATGATAGAGATAAGGCAAAATCATTCATGGAATCAAACAAGAAATTACTACAAGCAATGAAGGATGAAGAAAAAAGAAAAAAGCTATCTCAAACATCACAAGAGGATGTATCATCACAATCTACAGTGATAACCCAAGTATCTACACCATTTTACCCTTCATCAAATGTCGTATCAGCTCATGCTAATGATGAAACAGAAGATGAATTAAAAAACAAGAATTCTACAATGGCTAGTGAAACACCTATTTTAAATTCTGATGATTCACAACCATTATCACAATTTCATATATCAAATGGTGAAAAATCTGATGTCACAGTTAAACATGAACCTCCTAGTTTAAAACGTACAAGATCAAACGAGGATGATGATGAAAGTGTGATAATTGAGGAAGATATGGATGATTCCAAATTGGATGGTTCTCAATCACATCGCCATTTAAGAAAACGCAGAGCTACTATTGAGAGAGACGATGAATCATCAGTAGTTGCAGCAGGCTCAAAAGTTGCCAATACTTCAACAGATAGTAAATCAACTTTATTATCTGACAATCCTATAGAACTTGTAAGTAAAGGAGGTCTGTTCTACCGTCGTGATGATATGTCCAATCCTATTACAATTGGTGAATATCTGGAATTTAAATTCAGAGATAAAGAAGAGGAGCTGACGAAAGCTCACTCCGGAGACAGTGCATATATTGAGTTTACTAAGCAAGATAGAATGAATGCACATTTCTTCAAACCTGCAATAGAACTTGAAACTGAAAATGCATACCAAATACTCAGTAATACAATTCTAACTGAAAAATATGTTAATAGTTTAGAATTTTTCTTGATGGAGTTCCGTTGGGAAAACAAGCTGGTCGGGTTAGGTATGAAGTTAAGAGAATCTAAAAGAACATGGCAAAGAAGAAAGGCTCTGTTTGCTTTATTTGAATTTTGGAGGGATCAATCAAGAGAAAAGAGAAATTTCAAAAACTTTACAATTTTGCACGCAGTTAAAGAAATGGAGAGTTACAGAATTTTCATTAATAGATCTGTTTCATGGTTCTATAACCACATAACATTATTGAAAATGATATTATATGATTTATGTGATAATATCGAAACACATTGGAGAGAGTGGATGTTTCCAAGGGATAAACCTATTCCAGCTATCGGAATTGATGGGGTTGAACCAAGTAATATTAACAGAACTATCGATAACATATTAACACTAGAGTTTTTAGAGGATAATAATGACGGTAAAGATGATAAAAAGTTGTCTTAGAGACTCTTGTGTATCTAACAATGTTTAGGTGTTGTAATATAATGTTATATTTAAATACTTATATAATCATAAGTTTTAATAGTGACAACTCATTTAGAAAGAAAATGAAGCTTTATAAGTTTATGAATAACGATAAAATTATTTATGATTCCTATGCCCATTTGGCAACCATTTAAATTTCTAATCCCATCGATTTTCTTAGGAGTCTAAGAAATCTAAATACAATGTAAATTAATAAGTTATCTAATGTAGAATGCTGTATTTATTATGACTTTAAATACTTGTTGTCGTTAAACTGGTTAACCAGTATGCAGAATTTAATGCTAAACCAGGAATTTCTAAAATTCTTTGTAATGATATTGATTTTTTAGATTCAAGAATTCTAGAATAAATCCAGTTAAAAATATTGTTGACCATGTCCAAGAGTTGTAGCATCTATTTCTTATTTTTTTCAATAATTTCAATCAACTCTCTCTGACAATTAATTAATTCTTGAAATAAAGGTATACAACTTTTAAAATTTGACTGACATTGTCTAAGTGAGCTAGGAATAGATAACCTACCTCCAAACATGAAAATTGGATCTGGACTCACTTTCACGTTCTTTTTTTTGGTCTTTTCTTCGGATTGTTTCCCTTTTACCTTACTTCTGTTCTTAAGCTTACTGTCCTTTTCTTCATCATCTGACTCTTCAGTCTCTTCTTCCATTATTATTTTTTTAGTAATCTCTACAGTCTTTGAATCAGCAGAAATATGAACTTCCAATTCGCCTTCATACGTCTCATCCCAGTAATCTCTCCCATATCTCCCTCTTAATGCATCTTTATTGTGATAATTGGCTCTTCCTAGATTACTAAATCCTTCACCAAAACCCTTTTGTAGTTGTTCTAATAGACCGTTATATTTCGAAAGAAGTTCTAATACTTCCAAAGAAGACTCATCTGAAACCATACACACCATTGCCCACTATCTTATCACCTATAAAACCAGCTTGATTGACCAATTGTACTTTCAAAGATCAGTATTTTTATCTTATTTAATATCGAAAGCTTTTCTTATATCCAATTAAGACCAAAAGGCCTTTAAAAATATCGCCAAGTTGAAAAGTTACATATATTGTCATATATATATAAGAGTATTGGATTAGAGCATAAGTTGTAAAGAAGAGCAAGTATATAAGGCTGAAGAAGGGATTGGGGACAATGACGGATAGATTAACACAGTTACAGATCTGTTTAGATCAGATGATGGAACAATTTTGTGCGACTTTGAACTATATTGACAAGAATCATGATTTTGAAACTTATAATGATAATGAACAAAAAATGTCAGATCGTCATGCCACAGTTGCTCCAGCTGATGAGTTTTCAAGTACTATTGATGAACTCTCTACTGATATTATCCTAAAAACAAGACAGATTATAAAACTAATAGACTCTTTGCCGGGTGTGGATGTGTCAGAAGAAGAACAACTGAGAAAGATTGATATTTTACAAAAAGAGTTAGTTAAAGTAGAAGATCAAAAGATCGATGCTGTAAAGAAGAAAGAGAAACTGTTGCAAGATTTGAATATACTGATATCTTATTTCGTGACTGGAATTTCAGATTCAAGACAATTGCATAACGAGCAAACAACGCTCATCAAGAAAGAGGATTCATAACAAAATTGAACCAAATGAAATAAATAACACACACACACACACCTTTCTTTCTTCCTCTTTCTTTCCAAACTTACAGTTCAGAAGTTCATTGTAATATAATATCAGCTCAAAAGATTAGGTAATAGTAGTCTAGTCTTTTGTCTTCAAGGTGTTTGCTTATAGGCATCCAAAAAATGGCCAGTTCATGATCTGACCCTTATATACCTAATTATATATATAGATTTGGATATAGATATAAATAAAATTCATGAATAATAAAGATCATTACATTCCCTCAAACCTCCTTCTAACAAATTAAGCAATCCCCACTCTTTATGATAGTTCTGCAATAATGGTCATTGTTTATGCATAAGAGGGAAACTTTTCAATCATCTCATGTTATAATTTCATCGACCCCGTAGGATGGTTACTAAAGTTACTAAATTGAAGTTTTGATTACTTCCATCAAAGTCGTTATATAAACTGAATACCACCAAGCTAAAGACTTTCTCTTCCATCATTCATTTGTTGTTATATCCAGTTGAGAGATTAGTAACAAGTTTTTAAACCATTTGAATCTAGAGAAAGAGAGATGACCAAGTCAATATATTTCAGTAAATTTGTAGTTACTGAACAAGTGTTCTATCGTACTAAGCATTCATATGCGTTGGTTAATTTAAAGCCATTAGTTCCAGGCCATGTATTGGTGGTGCCATTAAGAAAGGATGTTATTGGGTTATCAGATCTTACATTCGAAGAATCGCAAGATTATTTTAATACTTTACAATTGATTCAGAATTTTATCTACTGGCAATATAAAGCAGACTCGTTGAATATAGCTATTCAGGATGGTCCTGAAGCAGGTCAATCTGTGGCTCATTTACATACTCATATAATCCCAAGGTTTAAGATGAATAACATTGGTGATCAAATTTATGAGAAGTTAGATCACTGGAATTTTGAAGATTGGAATAAAAGAAGGGAAGAGTATTTAAATGGAGGAGGAAGAGATGGACGTAGAGCCTTGGCCAAACCAGATGATCAACGTATGGCTAGAACAGAAAAACAGATGTTCCAAGAAGCTATCGAATTGAATACTCAACTGTCGAAATATCTACAAGAATTCCCGGAGATGAAGAAATGGGTAACAAAGGAGACATCAATTTGAATCACATGAAGTTCATCAAACCAATTGACCCACAAACAAGCATACAAGCACATACACACACACATATATATATACTAAAATTATCATTCTTGAGTGGTCTTTATTAAATGAGCATTGGTTCAACTCATTGGCAAACATGTATCCCTCGACATGTGATATATTCTTTTCTCCTCCTCCCCTCCCCTTTTCAGAGCAGAAACGATTCAAGAAATACACATACCCAACAAAATACTTACCACACCAGTCCAGTCCAGTCCAGTGCTGTCAACAAGCCGTCGTTAAATCATGTATTGTCATCCCAATCGATCAAGTTCATATATGAGTATATATATATAAGTATATGTCATTTACTACTTAAGTATCCGCTTGCTATATTATATTATATTATTATGTCAAATTCTGCAGCGCTACCAAACGGTGTTAGAGGAATCCGAATTCACCTTTAATTTTTTAAACAATCACGTGTGTCATCGTTGTATACGAACACGTGATAAGTTACCCGCCACTTGCCCAAAATGCCTGATATTTAAAATTAAAATTGGTGAACTTAAAAGTTGTTTATTTAAATCTATTATAACTAACTTCTAACAAATTGATAAGCAAAAACTACTATCAATTTACTAAAATCCAACAACAAAAGGTCAATTGTAGTGTATATCAGTTGCTTGCGAATTGGTTTAGGTGTGTCAGATTAGGTTTCCTTTTTATTCTGTGGTTATATATCTGTTATTTTTTAATTTTTTGACATTAACCGGTGAATTTTTGGAAAAGCTAGCAAGTACTACAACGATTAAAAAAGAATTGTCCGCAGTGAACCAGACTAGTTTTAGTGCTAATTAATATTTGGGAATTTGTATATTTTATACTATTGTCAAATATAAATAACAACGAGGTTTATTGATCATTGCCATTGTATCGGGATTTCTTAATTTTTGTTTTTGCCATTGAATTTCCGTAGCAGCAAGAGGAAAATAAAAAAATATCGAGAATTGTGTTCTGATTGAAGATGGATATTAAAGGAAGAAAGATGAAGAAACCTCCTGCATGTGTTCAATGTCGTAGGAGAAAAATTGGTTGTGATAGAATCAAGCCTATTTGTGGGAATTGTATGAAATCAGGTAAAGGCGATTGTTTTTTCCCTGATATTCCAGGGCAATACGTTACTTCAAATATAGGTTCAAAAGATTTTGATAATTTGGGCTCAAGCAATGGGAACCTAATGAATTTACCTTTACAACATACTATTTCTCATCGCTCTAGGGACACTGCCCAATTGTTACAACACAATCCAGAATTGGCTTCAATGGAACAAATTAGAGAATATAATACCCGTTTGCAACTAATGAATGCTCAAGAACGTAGATCAACTCCGATCTCTATGGAATCTGCAAAGTTTATACCAAGAACCGCGACGAAATTTGAAAATAAACCAGTAACTTCGGCTAATAGTTCGAATCTGAATCTAAATTGGGTTCAAGGCCCAGCTATCTTTGAATTAATAAATACACAATACTCGGAAAAAGATCTTATTCAAAGAGAATTAAAGTTTATTAAAGTAAGGTTATCGGAATTACAAGAAATTACAGGTAAAAAAATTGAGGTCGATTTATCCGCTGATGAGAAAGATAAAAGGAAATCAGATGCAACAGAAGATATACCAGTACAGAAAAAAATTAGACTTTCTTCAAAATCAGATGGAGCTTCGGCTGCTGATGATATCAATGAATTTGACACCGAAATTTTAGATCCAAAATTGGAATTTTCAATTTTCAATTATAATGACAATGACACAACCACTGCACAACAAAATTCGAACATTTTATCTTCGGCTAAATTTTCAGATGTACCAAACTACCTATTCGATATTAGGTTCCTTGTTAAAAGGGATAAATTTTTAGAACATTATTATAAAAAATTGGATATGGTAATTTCAGAAAAATTTATAGATAACTTGACACAATGGAACCAATCAAATTCAAATAAAAATTTGGTTTTAAAATCTCAACAGGTAATTAAATTCCCATCTCGTGTATTCAGTAAAGATGTAATGGATCATTTTTCAAAAACAATGAAAAAAACAGATTTCAATATTACACCATTAGAAAATTTTGATGACATCTACGAACTAATTGATAAATTATTTGGACGTGAGCCAGAATTTAATCCAAATTCATTAAATATTACCTCATTGACACTATTAGGTAAATTGTCAGTAATTTTATTACTCGTCCATTCTTCTCTTTCCAATTCAGTTTCCAAGCCGATGGGAGAACAAGCATCATCAATGTTACTACAACTTAATGAATGGTATTCTAATCTAAAATGTAACTTGTTCCTCATTAAAAATGCATTGGTATTAAAATATGGTTCTCCTCAATCTTTAGAAGCTTTAAGTTTCTTCTCCTTATATAAATACCAACAATCTATCGCCACTGACATCAATGAATTTATTGATGGTGACGATGACATTCACATTGCTAGAAATCTTTCTATCAACTACGAAACTGAGGATAAGTCACTAGTATTATTATGGAACTTTATTTTCAGATCATATGCATGGAGGCATTTATATAAAGGTGAAATTCCAGCCTTAATAATGGGTAACGAATTCAGAACATCAATTATAAAGGACCGTGTATTAGCTGATGGTATTGAGTTATTATCCTCAGAGAAAGATTTGGTTAACTATTTGCATAAGAAAAACGACATTCTATCCTTGAAAAAAGTAGAATCATTAAAGGAAAAGGTGATGTCATCATTTTCAGATCTTACCCAAAAACAAAAATTCCATTCGATTTTTTTGGGATTCATACTTCAGTCATTCATTTACAGAAATTTCAATGTTATATTTGGATTTTTATTTATTAATGCATATGAACAATTGAAAGAAGCTGACATATATGCTTCATCTTATCTACAGTTTTTGGAACTAGTAAAAGAGTCATTACTGTTCATCACAAACTCTTTTTCGGATGTGAGCATATCTGGTTTGGAATTTTTATTTGCAAAAATGGGTTTCTCCCTAATAGATAACATATGCAACTTTCTTCTATCATTATACCAACGCTGCTTCTTTTCATTTAGTTTACAATCCACTAACAATGATGCAATCCATGAGATGACAAAGCAAAATATATCTGAGCAATTAAAAACAATAATAACAATTCTAAAAAAGGTAAGAAAGTTACTGCAAGACCGTGTCAATGACTCAAAAATTGTTAACCCATTACTTGGGAGATCTCTTGTAAGATTAACTACCATGATCGAATATATAAAGTTATGTGATCAAGAATCAGAAGCTCAGATTGCAATTAACAAACATTTGCAATTCGGAGGTTCAAGTGCATTTGATAATATGAAGGAGGCAAACTTAGTTAAAGGATTGAAGATATTAGAAGATATGTCTGTAAGTTTAATCAAAAAAGATTCTTTTGATGAAGAAAATAGTTATCGCACAGTGAGTCCAAACACATTAGGCATTACTCATGAGAATTTTGTTCGTATTTATACTTCTCATTTTAACTAATTGATTAATTGATCACATAGTAGCATAAGATCATTTAAGATACGATGACAAATTCATGATAGATATTTAGATGCATATTTTACGTCTGTAGTTGTAATTGTAATTTTATTTTTTTAGACAATGGATGCATTATGTATTAATTTTTAATATAATTATAGACAGTTTTTAATATTCTATATCGTTGATCGGAATCGAATACTAGACGAAAATATACACCGATCTATCCTTCTTGACATAGAAGCACTTCATATCTGCTATATCTTTATCATTAAAAATATTCGGTAGAGGAATTTTCAACTCTTGTTCATTATAGTCGTGTAAATTAATGTTTTTAATAAATAATTCGTTAGAACTGTTATTATATTTTATTGAAAGATCTAGACTTGATTCTATAAACGTGGATATTTCAATTCGAAGTTTAAATTTTTGATCAGATTTTGTCTTTCTCATTGAAACTTCAAACTTAGGATCTTTCTTAGTTTTAGGTTGATTTTCTATTTGATTAGAATTTTTATCATTTGGTTTCCAATCAGAAATGTCTTCGATAAGAGGTTTATTGTTTGTAGTACTGGAACCGCTAGGGAACAATGGTGGTAATTCTTCTGAGGGCCCTGATCCTCCAGTTAAAGTATATTCTTCATCTTCTTGTAGTAAATCTCTTTTCATTTTCAATATCTGGGCAGGGTCTGAAACTTCAGTTTCTTGAAGTGCTTCTGTAATTTGATTCTCGTAATCATTTGTCAACTCATGAGAAAGCATTTCCATCCTAGGGACAGCACCTTTCTTCTTTAAGTTTGGGAATGCAATTTTATCCCTACAAATTTCTATAGACTCTCGAAGTTCACAAGATTCTAAGCACCATTCTACAACAATTTCCTTTAATTGGTAATCTTTTGAAATCCATTCGGTACATTTCGTATTGATGCAACAATCACAAACATAACATTTCACACCTTTTTTATCAACATCTTCACGTATTGTCGATGTAACAATCGGTATCTCCCATTGATTATTCATTATTAATGGATAAACGATATTAGGTGAGAAATCAACATTCTGGGGCAGGAACTTTCGTCACCGAACAAACTTTTAAAAATATCTTAGAACCTTTCTTTTGGCACTGTTTGTCTATTTGGGAAATGGTGGAATTGAATTAACCTTTGATTTTAAAACAAATAAAGGATTTTGGTTCGAAAGAAATTCATTTATCCCCACCCCTTTGGATCAAAGGGTCGAGTAACAAACCTCATTTTAAAAAAATTAAGAAGGGTCCTGCCCAAGGGGATTTAACAATGAAATGGTTTTGGAAAACCTTAAAAAATGACTTCAAAATGATAACACTTTTCTTTTTTCGAAGTGGGAGGGAAAAAAATACTTTTAAATTTTTTGTANATTCTCTTAGGCAACGAGGGAGAGAAATGGTCCATATATAGGTGGGAATAAAAAATGGTGAGACTGTCAATAAAATGGAA